CTGCCTCGCTCTAGCCTAACAATCGAAAAATCGTCTTATCAATCAATCGAATCACCGTTTCTTACAAACTGTCACCACGCGTTTTTACTTCTCGACTCGTTCGTCACGCGGAACGAAAGAATTAGAGGAAATCAATGCTTTTATCGTGGGTGAACACAGATTACTGGGAGCACAGGTTGCACGGAGAGGAACGAAGATAGAAAAAAAGACACATCGTGGGACAAAAGAAAGAAAAGGGAAGCCGGTGGGCGGAGGTAAGGGATTAAAGGGTGGTCCTGTTCGTGGTCTTCCTCCAGAGGGGCGGGAACTCGCCGGACAGGTTTTTTTAAAGAGAGCCAGGACCAGCCACTTAACGGTCGTGCGAACGCGATGTCATAGTAAATTTTCGAAAAACAGCTGGAATCAGGTGAATCGCTTCGTTGTTCAATTATCAAAAAAAAAAAAAAAAAAAAAAAAGAAAAAAAACACAAAGAAGAACAAGAAAGAAGACTCGTGAAAGTTTTGATCAACTAGTGATGTTCATCGCGATTATATCGGGCCAAAATTTGGAAGACAGAAGAAATCTCTTCGACAGTGTGCTTAATTCCGCAGAGAATTAGATGTGTACGATGACATCACGCGAGAAGAGATTCAACGCCTCTCAGAAATGTGGATCGTGAAAACGTTACGTACACTGAGAAACCATGGACACTGTGATCATCCCTGTCGTTCCTCGAACTTATGAACACTAAACAAAAGAGAAAACACGAGATAGTAGCGTAACGTGAACTTTTGATTTTGATTTTGATTTTTGTGATTGAGTCCAATTTTTAACTTTGCGTCCAATTCAATTTCTGAGCCAGCGAATCATCTCTTCTGAGATGATTAATTTGTAATAACGACAAACATTGTTGTTGAACGGTCCGATATTAGGAAATATAAGTTCCTTTTCCCGCGGCGATGACCTCCGTGCTGTCGGACGAAGGCTCGAAAGTCGCGAGAATGAAGCAGAAACTGATGAACGACGTGCACGTGAAGGAAGAAACGCGATCGTTTCTCAGCTTCTTCAGGGAGAACCTCAGTATCTCTCAATCGGATCTTGAACAAGGCTTCAACAAACATCGATTCCGCCCGAACAAAAATACGATTCTGAGCGTGACGGCTTTGTTGATCGCCCTTCTCTGCCTGGGCCTCGAAAGTTGGCGGTTCCATTGTTCTTTGGTCAATGCTCGGGAGATAGAGGAGCTGAAACGAAGCGTGGAGAGTCTGAAGCATCGTTTTTTGGAGGAGGATCTGCTGGACGAGTTGAAAGCCTTTGAAGAACAGGTAGTGGTCCTTTTTTCTTTTCTTTCTTTCTTTCTTTTTTTTTCTTCGCGAGTAAATGGAGCACGAAGAAAGTTGAGTGTCACGTGCTGGTAGAATTACTTACTTTGGCCACCGTGTGTAATTCGATAGTCGTTCGACCCTTCCTCTTTTGTCATTCGCACTACTTTCCGATGGTTTATTATTGTTATTGTTATTATTATTAGAAACTAACGATTCGCAGAATCCGATTCAACGTGAGAAATCAGGATTTCAAACTTCAATTGTAATATCTTCTTTCTAAAGTTTTTGTCAGCTTTTGCACAAGTACATTCGATGCCTTCGTTTATCGAATTTCGAAGTCAGCTTTACTATTATTCTCGGTGATTCTTGGAGAATTCTCTCGGTGTCTGAAAGTATTCGAGCCTTCGGTTATTTTTATCCCAAAGGCTTCTTTATTTTCGTACCTGTTTATTCGAAAAGTCTTCTTCCTCCTTCTATAATCTTCTCGTTGATAAACGGAATTAATAGCTGCTCATCCCTTTCGAAAAAAATATACTTAACAAAAGAAAAAAAAAAAAGGGACTCTTTTCTTGTGACTGATTTACATAAAAAGATCGAAATTGAATGATCTCTTGAGATGATTAATTTGCAGTAACAACGAGTTGTTGAACGATTAACCGATTCAGTGTTAGAAAATAGAAATTTTTCTTCCCTGTTCTGGAAAGAGATGACGGAAAACGAAACACTCGATTCAGACACGAATACGGTAGATCCTACTGAATTAATCAGTGCAATGTCATAAATGACGTCGACGTTCTTTCTATTGATATTAAATACACGCGATAACCTTGCGATAACCTTGCTTCTCCTCCTTTCGCAGGTCTACACGAAGAAAATGATAAAAGAAATTAGGTTAGGTTTGATTGGGTAACGTTTAAAGATCATCGTAGTTGATCGAACCGAGGCTTTTACGGTTCGACAACCTCTCCCGACGGCTCAAACCAGCACCGGCCGTTCTCAATGGAGAAATGATTACGCGAATTATGTAATTCTACGTGGAATTCAACTCGCGATGTGAGATGCAAATATAACGCGTCGTTGTGTGTGTCACGTGATCGGAGATATTCGACGCATGCTGGATGAAACCGTAACTCGATCGTTTCTGACGATTTGCAAAAGCTTTGTTAACAAAGATTGTTTGGTAAAGAAGCAGTCGTAATATTGTATATATAATACTTTTTATAATACGATAATATTATTATGTACAGGGTGGGCTAAAAAATCACTTCCCACTGAAGTAAATCCGTAATTTTTTATTACATATTTTTTTTTTATTTCTTTTTTACAGATTAAAGTACACAAGTTACATTAAGTTGAATTCAACTTAAGATTAGCAAAATTAGTTTTTTTTAATATTTTGATGTTTTATTAAAATAGGTGGGAAGAAATTTTTGGTCTACCCTGTAATATAGTACAATATTATATTAATTAATTATAATATTGTTATGATATATTAGTTTATTATAATAAATATGATATATTTTTATAATATAATAATATTATATAATATGAATATAATACTTAAATAAAGATATACTTTCTTAAATAGATATTATATAATATTAATATAATATGTAAATACTTTTTTAAATGGAACTCTATATTTTTTCCACTTAGTTTTTATCCTGTAAAAAAAGTATCGAGCCATTCGTGTCGAAAAATTAATAACTTTTAAGATGTTTCAACATTAATTTTGTAAAATCTACACCTCGAAAGAGCAATACACGAGAATACTCTTTGTCTCTCTTCGTCTTTTATGGATAAATGATAGATAAATTTTACACAATCCTTGATTGAAACATCTCCTAAATTAATAGTTTTTCCACGTCCATAGAGAATGTCGAGCAAGGAAAAATATATCATTCCACTTAAAAAAAGTGGAGGTGATTTTAAAATGATCTTGAATCCCTCCATCTACAAAAAAACTATTATCATTATATTATAATAATATGAATCGATAGATAATGATATAATATTATCAAATCGATTAATTATCAAAGAAATAATATTATCACATTATATCTGTGCCAATTGTAAATAATTGTTATCAACAAAAGTTTTTTTTCACACCGTCGAAAACAACGAAGATGTTGAAGAAAGTTGATCAAGTTCACATGGCCCACCTTGTATATAAGTACATCGATCGTGTCGTACACCTTGAGGCACGAGCGTAAACATTCTGACGAATCTAGAAGATTTATCATAATAGGCTTATCAATTAGCTGCCCGATTGAATGACGATTAAATCGGCTATTTATTTTGTTTGCAGCTGTACACCGAGGAATTCAACGATGACGACGACGACGATGACGATGACGACGATCCAGACGATCCAGACGAGGCGGATATCGACAACGCGGATTACGACTCGAATTACGACGACGACGAGGCATTCTCGTCGCGTGATTACTCGCCGCCGACGTTCGGCGCTAGGCCGTCCGACT